TATGGCAACCGCAAGGAGAAAATGTGTAGTGTAGTGGCTCTAACCACCCCCTTGCTACCTGCTTCAAGAAGGAGGGTGAATGGTATGTCGTCAACGGAGTTGACAAGAAGCCGCCGAACTGGATGCGCCGACTGGTCAACCAAGTCGATGCACAGGAACCCGCTCAGGCTAGTGCTACTGATAGTGCTCCTACTGATGTGCATCTCAACATGTTGTTCCATGGCACTGCCATGATTAATGAAGTGACTTCGAAGAACGCCAGCTCATCACAGGCACCAGACTTCATAGAATTTACACTCAATAGTGGGGACGCTCACACAATGCTCAAGGAGAAACACTCCTTCCAACCTTACCCAGCACCCATACCTCTCTTGGGAGCTGATCCGAGCTTCACCAATCATACTAAGGGGTCGTCCGCAGTCCCATGCCTCGCCTTCCCATTTGGCACAGTCACTGGCAAATGCTTGCCTTCACTACGCTACAATCTAGTGGCCCAACAAGAACTTCAAATGTCGGGGGTCCTCACCATCTTTCCTCCACACGCTGAACACTGCGACCTCATCGAGCCACTCACCAACAAGCTTCTGGCTCGTTTCACCCTCAACAGCAGCATCCTCCACACGTTGCGTTCACCTGCTCACATGTGTCCACCACCCAAGCACAGATTGCTATCACACCATGCTCATGTCGTAGTCTCGCCAACTCGACCATCCTCTATCAGCATCGCCTTGGATACCCAAACTTTCGCAAGCTTGCTGACATGGCCTACAAGAAGCTTCTCCTCGGCCTACCAACCTCACTTCCTCCACCACCTGACTCCCCCTCTGACTCCACCACCTGCTCTTGATTTCACCAAGAGCAAGCTGCGCCAACAACCTCGCCCCACCTCACCCTCTGTTCAGCAGCCCCCATGGATCTAGTGCACATGCTCGCGAGGTGGTCATCGCTACTTCCCCTGAACAGTTGATGGCCATTCTCGCGACGTCTCTGTGCACCTCCTCCACACCAAAGCTGAGGCTCCAAAGGTCATAGTGGCATGGGTCAAATAGGCGCATGTCATCTTTGGCGCCAAGGTCAAGTGCCTCCATTCGGAAGGTGGTGGTGATTTTTGCAACAGCAAGCATGAGGCCTTCTGTTCCTCTCTCTGCATTCAGCAAAACTTCACACTTCCTGACAGCCATAACGAAATGGCATAGCAGAGAGCCGTAATCATGCGCTGGTGGAGATCGCTCACTGCCTCCTCAGCCACTCCCACACTCCACACTCACTTTGGGGGTATGCCCTCTTATCAAACTATATCTGTGCTAGTTTTGCGTAGGCTATAGTGGGGTAGCCCATATGGGGTACAACCCAATGTTAGGGTTAGTACTTGTACCCACAATTCATTCAATGCAGTCATTCTAGCTTCTCATTCTAACATGGTTTCGCAGCAGTAGGTATGTAGGACCGTTTTTTTTCGGGCCCACCATTCCGACTGCGGTTACCGCATTACCCCACTGCCCTACCCCCGCGCGCTACCCCGCTGGCTTCCTGTAGCCCCGCGCGCCGCCTGCCTCTGCCGCGGCTGCCTGCTACACCCCGCGCGCCACCCGGCGCGCTGCCCCACAGCCCCGTGCGCCGCCTGCCCTGCTGTCGCGGCCGCCCGCTACGCCCTGCGTGCAGCCCGCCCTGCTGCCCTGCCGGCAGCCTGCAGCCTCGCGCGCCGCCTGCCACAGCCGCGGCCGCCCACTACGCCCCGCGCGCCGCACGCTCTGCTGCCCTGCCGGTCGCTTGCAGCCCCGAGCGCCGCCTGCCAGAGCCGCGGCTGGCCCGCTACGCCCAGCGCGCCGCCCGCCCTGCTGCCTCGCCGACCGCCTGCTGCCCCGCGCGCCGCCTGCCACTGCTTCGGCCTCCCGCTAGGCCCTGCGCGCCGCCTGCCTACTAAGCCCGCGCGCTGCCTCTGCGTGTACCCTTATTGCGGCCGCCCGCTTCAGCCCAGCGCGCCGCCCCTGCTACTGCTGCTTGCATGCAATCGCTCTGCCCTGCCAGTCCCGCGCGAGCAGCTATAGCCACCCTCCGCGTTTTGTCGTTCGATACTGAGGGCCGCCCAATTCAGTTCGAGACCTGGCTCGATGACCTGCAGCTGTTCCTAATGAGCGATAGCTAGGACAATGTCTCTCTCTATGACCACACGTCTGGTGCCTCAGTAGCTCCTGCTGCGACAGCTGAGCTTAGTGCCCATTCCCAGTGGCAGACTCGTGACGCTGCTGCTCGCCTAGCCGTTTGCAACCACCTGCCGTTAGCCGGACTCACGCATTTTGGCGAACACAAAACTGCTAAGGCCATGTGCGACGCCGTAGTTGCTCAATACTCCTCCCCTGCCACTGCTGCACTTAGCCGCCTCATGCTGCCCTACCTATTTCCTGAGCTATCCACCTTTGCCACAGTTGCCGATCTTATCACCCACCTTCGCACTAGTGACACTCGCCTTCGCGCCGCCCTCCCCAAAGAGTTCTTAGCCAAGAACCCGCCTCCGATGTACTGGACCCTACACTTCATAGTGACCCGTCTCCCTGACTCTCCATGTTCGGTCAGGGGCCACTTTCTCGCTCGCTGTCCCACCGATCTCACTGTCGACCTCCTAGAGGAGCAGCTTCTAGCCGCCGAGACTAGCATAGTCACCGTAGGTGCTGCTCGTGGTGCTCCTCGCACCACCATCTTTGAGGGGTGCTCTCCCTCTCCCCTCGCCCCTTCCTACGCTACTGCCGCTGCTGTTGACTTCCTTGGTGCTGAGTCTGTTGGTGCCGCTTCTGCTCCTAGTGGGAGGCGCCGCAGCGGTAAGGGCAAGGGAGCCAAAAGTAGCGGAGGTGGCACCGGGGGGGGGTGGTGGTGGAGGAGGTGGAGGAGGAGGAGGTGGCGGAGGGAGTGGTGGCGGGAGTGCTGGCGGGGGTGGTGGCGTCGGTGGCGGCGGTGGGAGTGGCGGTGGAGGTGGTGGCGGCGGAGGGGGTGGCGGCAGCGGTGGCGGCGGCGGTGGCGGTCGGGGTGGCGGTGGCGGCAGCGGTGGCGGCCGGGGTGGAGGCGCTGGCACTAGCCAGAGATAGCAGCAGAAACAGCAGCAGCGTCCCCGTGAGGCTCTTATGCCCCAGCAGCTTCGTGAATGGCTTGCTCAGCGTGGGACGTCTGGGGGTAGTGGTCGCTGCCCGTATATCATTCGCGCAGGTGACCGCGCTGGTCAGACATGTGGGAAGTTCCACACCCAGCACCACAGCTTCTCCCGCCTTGACGATGCGTGGCGTGAGGAGATGGGCGAGGAAGTCGAGTGCCCTCGTTGGCATGGGCTGCTTGGGCTGGTGTAGACATCTTTGCTCTTGACTATGATGCTATCCTTGCTGCCATGTATGCATTGACTGTTGATGCTGAAGGAGACTGTTACTTGTGTGTGCCGCCTAACCCATGTATAGAGGGTGCTGCCTTAGGTGCGAGCGAGTCTGCTCTCTCAGGTAGTGCGCCTGCTCAGGCCTTGAACACCTTCACGCTTGACTCAGGTGCTTCCCGCTGTTTCTTTCGTGATAGTACTGCACTCACACCACTCACTGCACCCGTTGCAGTCTCTCTGGGGGCCCAGTTCTTGCACGGTCCACCACTGTGCTCCCGTGCCCGGCGGTTCTGTCTGGCTCACTGTCAGGCCTCCACCTCCCCTCGTTCTCTACGAACTTGGTGAGCAACGCAGTTCTCCAGGACCAATAGGTTGACACCTTTACCCCTGGAGGACAGCGTGTGGCGAATTGTACGTTTACCCGTCGGCGCGGGTCAAGTCTTTACATACTGACGACTGCGCCTCCTCAGGTAGCTGGCTACTGGTCAGGTGTTTGCGTCAGGTCAGATAGCCTCCCCTTGTTCCTCTCGCTCCCTGTCGCACCAGACTCTTCTCTGGCACCATCGTCTGGGTCACCCCTCCTTGGCACGTCTACGTGGCATGCACCGTCGCCTCCTTGTGTCTGGTCTTCCCAGGTCTCTCCCTCCCCTCCCTGCCTCGCCTGCGCCGCCCTGCCTTGTGTCGAGGAATCCCTAAACCTAAACCCTAGACCTACTCAGTGCCACCCCCATTGCGAATCAGGGTTTTATGCCAGCGGTCACAAGCGACAATGCTTGTTTGTGTGGGTGTGGTACAGTTTGTCACCACGCGGAGTATGGCCCGATCTGCGGTAAAAAAGTTTCGGTTTCAGGGTAGTGTACACCCTACCCTGATACCATCAGGCTTGCTAGAATGGCATAGTGCCAGCGTAGCGGAAACGTGTTTGTAGAAACAACAAGATAGAAATCTTGCATTGATCATTGAAAAGTGGAATGATGATGACACAATGATCACAGAATGATAATGAAGAAGTGACACAGCAAAGTATATATGCATCCAGCTACCCTTCCAGAATGACCCCATTCACACCAATAATGGTGTACCAATAATTAAACCCTCTACCCTCCAATAATGCTGGGCTCCAATAATTGTGGCCCTACAATATTTGTGACAATTATTGTAGGACATGGAAGCTTATAACGAGGACTACACTAAAACCAAACAGCACACTGGTATACAGTATTCGTTATACTATATTCGGATTTCGAACAAGGCTAACCATAAATCCTATCAGTGTAAAAAAAAACATGGTCTTTTTGCAAAAGGGTAACTATCGTGGAATCCTGATTTTGGCAGGGTAATCCTGAAAAAGCGGCCAGCCCCCAGGGTAATCAGGGCGTTTTACCCTGATATTTTGGGCCCCGCCCACTGAACATTAAAATGATGCACTCCACATGACCATTGCAGCATTTGCTTGCTCTGATCTGAGGCTGAACAAGGAGGAAGAAATCTATCGATGGAAGCCAACCACATTCATACCCCCATTTTGACAAATAACAAGACGACCATACAATACATTATACAACACTAATCTGATTGCCAGGCACATAAGACCAAACATAATTACCGTAACAAAAGATTAAGCAAAATGTTGTCCTGCACTGCACTAGTGCTTTGTAGGCGCTTTTTTGGGCGTTTCAAACTTATCTCTCAACACGCGGGGGATGTCTGCAGTGATATTGTTGAGAGGGATGCTCAGATCAACCCAGTATATCCGCTTCACTCGTTCATACGTCTCCTGTAGGAGACCGAGGCAGGAGGCAGTGAAGGGGGGGATAAGGGAAAACAAGCAGCAACAGTGTGTGTCTATAAAAAAAAAATGGATCTGAAGATACACAAACTGCAGCTGTGGTGCACGATCAAGTAGCAAGGTGCAGAGCACGAGCAGGAGAGTAAGAGGAGGGTGGGAGTAGAGTTAAAGGAGAGCTTGCGAGTCGGAAAGTAGGAGAGTGGGAAGGTGTGTGGGAAGCATCACTTGGACTGGTGGAGTGGAGGCGGATAACGAGAAGAGATGCATGCTGACATTGCAGCACAGAAAGAGCCTTGAGGCACGTGAAGCATGCGGTACAAGTATCCAGAATACAGCAAGGGTAAACAAGACAAAGGGACCCATGTGGGAGATACAGGGTCGATGCATAGAGGGATGGGGGCGTGGAACAAAAGAGAAGACGGACGAAGGAGGTGGAAGGAAGAGAGGAGGGCAAAAGGTGGAGGCAGAGGATGAAAGGCAGTGGCCTGGGTATGTGTGTTGAGTGGAATGCAAGTGGTCGGGATATGTGCTTTGAGTGGAATGCAAGTGGTCGGGATATGTGCTTTGAGTGGAATGCAAGTGGTCGGGATATGTGCTTTGAGTGGAATGCAAGTGGTCGGGATATGTGCTTTGAGTGGAATGCAAGTGGTCGGGATATGTGCTTTGAGTGGAATGCAAGTGGTCGGGATATGTGCTTTGAGTGGAATGCAAGTGGTCGGGATATGTGCTTTGAGTGGAATGCAAGTGGTCGGGATATGTGCTTTGAGTGGAATGCAAGTGGTCGGGATATGTGCTTTGAGTGGAATGCAAGTGGTCGGGATATGTGCTTTGAGTGGAATGCAAGTGGTCGGGATATGTGCTTTGAGTGGAATGCAAGTGGTCGGGATATGTGCTTTGAGTGGAATGCAAGTGGTCGGGATATGTGCTTTGAGTGGAATGCAAGTGGTCGGGATATGTGCTTTGAGTGGAATGCAAGTGGTCGGGATATGTGCTTTGAGTGGAATGCAAGTGGTCGGGATATGTGCTTTGAGTGGAATGCAAGTGGTCGGGATATGTGCTTTGAGTGGAATGCAAGTGGTCGGGATATGTGCTTTGAGTGGAATGCAAGTGGTCGGGATATGTGCTTTGAGTGGAATGCAAGTGGTCGGGATATGTGCTTTGAGTGGAATGCAAGTGGTCGGGGCATGTGCTTTGAGTCAAATGGAAGTGGTCGGGGTGTGGTACCTTATCGTACAGCTCCAGCAGCTTGCTCGCTGCGTTGGTCACATGGAATTGCCCCACTCCCGGCTGCGCCTTGTTGCCTGCAGCACCAGCAGCGCCAGCTGCAGCACTCATGGCGAGAGCGAGAGTGGCAGGGTCGGCAGCAGCATCGGCGTCAGCGAGCGAGGCCGCAGAGGTAGGGGAGGAGAAGAGGTTGTAGGAGGGCAGGTCCCCCAGGCGGTGCAGCACGGCAGCGGCATCTCGCTCCAGGGACTCCAGGCGCCCCACAAAGTCGTACTTGATGTCATGTAACCCACACAGGCGCGCCTGCGGTCACTCGATTGGGCCCAGGGGGGAGAAAATGGGGGAGGGGGGTGACTGGGTTTTGTTAAGTTGACTTGGAATTTACTGGTGACTTGTGAAGTGCCTCAAATCACAGAAGCGGCGTCACACTGCAAAGACTCCAGGCGCCCCACAAAGTCATACTTGATGTCGTGCAGCCCACACAGGCGCGCCTGCAGAGGGAGGGACAGCGGAGGTTAGGCATGCGTGTACAGGGAAGCGGAGGGGAAGAGGAGAGACTGGATTTCTCGTTGAGTTGACTTGGAAAAACTGGTGGTGAGCAAGTAGGCAAGAATGCAGGCAAGTGGGAAGGCAAGGGAGAAAGGTGCTTTCCATGCATGGTTTCAGGGACAGGGCATGTCCGTGGTGTGAAAAGATGCATAGTGAGGTATGGCTAGGTACGTGTGGCTATTGCGAGGAGGTGCGAGCTGTGCTGGGCTCGGCAGATTAAAGAATGAAAGGGAGGGCGTGTCACTCATTGTACACTCATGCAGCACAGCGTCAAAAAGGTTAAGCTGCGTCCAAGTGGATTAAGACGTGCACGAATTGTTGGGATCAGTAAGGAAGCAGTCATGGCGGTAGACATGGCAGCAGATATTCAAGTGTAATGCTCTACACACCAGAGAAGGCTTGCATGAATCATTGGGGTCAGCAAGGTTGGGATAAGCAAGGCAGCAGCAGTCATGGCAGTGGGGTGCGACTACACCAGAGAAGGCTCTTTCACTGTGAAGGCTCTTTCACAGTGCCCCTTCCTCTCCCCCCAAATTCACCAGAAAGTGCTCGCCTGGCCTCACCTGCGGTGCAATGTGTGGTTCAAGCCAATCCTTGGGCACTCGTTCGATGAGGTAGACGAAGTCACGGAAGGACAGCAGGTGGGACACCGGGTTTGCCAGCTGCATTAGCAGCTTCGGCACCCGGCCGAATAAGAGCTGGGAAGTGGAAGAGGCAGGAGAGGGGGAGATGGGGATGGGGAGAGTAAGGAGGGTTAGGCCGAAGGGCAGTGCAGCAAAGACGCGGGAGAGGAAACCAGAATCACAGAAAATACGATCGGTTCACCGCGTTGACGTGCCTCGAGAGTTGTGTCGGTTCACAGGAAAAGAAAAAGAGAAAGAGGTACGAGCGAACAAGAGAGCGTATGGTACGCGCGCCGACAGCATCCACCATGTTCTGAGAGGTCTCAACTCAAAGCACCCACCATGTTCCACTGCTGGCGCCCTTTGAGTATCCTCTCCTCGCTCCCACTCGCTCTCCGTCCCTTGCTCCCCACGCCCCCCGCCACGTGCTTATCCAAGTACGCCGACGCCACGCGCGCAAACGGGTCCCGCAGGAACACAAACCGGAACAGCCTTCTATCCGACAGCGCGCGCAGCGCTTCCGCCTCGTTGAAGGCAAACCAGAGCTCGGGCAGGCCGTTGGCACCAGGTGCGTGCGCCCAGTCGATGCTGGCGGGGTTGGGCAGGCGGTGGTAGGTGCGGAACCAGACCTTCCAGGAGGTGCATGCCACCTTGGGGATGAAACAGTACATGGCGCTCAGGCGCTCTGAGGGGGGAGCAGCAGGGGAAGGAGGGGAAAAAGGGGAAAGAGTGTGAACAAGAAGCTCGTGCAGGGCGCCTTGGGGACGAAACAGTACATGGCGTTGAGGCGCTCTGGTAGTTGCCGGGGGGGACGGAGGGAGGGAGAGAGGATAGGAGGGAAAGACAAGGTGGGGGAGTGGACAGACACCAAGCTCTGACGGAGGAGCCAGGGGACGGCAGGGAGGAGGGCAGGAAGAGAGGAAAGGGGTTGGATGAAAGGTGGAGAGGAGCCAGGAGAGGGAGGGAGAGGTGAGTGAACAAGAAGCTCGTGCAGTTGGGAAGCCGCCTTGGGAATGAAGGGGTGGTGTGGGAGGGGGAGGGCGAAGAGGTGGGTGGAGAAGATGGGGAGGAAGGTGGAAGAGGAATGATTGTGTTTGGCTGAAAGCGATTTGTGGAAGGGGGAATCGCAGGGGAATTCGCGGAGGGGGTCGCAGGAGGAATCGCAGGGGGGATCGCAGGGGGAGCGACAGATGGGTGGACTTGGTTGAAAGAAGGCGCAACAAGTTGAGTCGACATGCACTCTCTAGTTGCGAGGAGCCCCATCGCCTCAATTTTGTGATTGTTCTAACACCCATCGAAGCCACATGCCATACGGACGATGCATTGCAAGCACGAAAACAACCATCTACCCTCTCAGTGGCAACTCGCTGCTCACATGCCTAGCACCTAGCCGTGTGCTTGTCATCCACCACCCGCTCGGTCAGCATGCTCAATCCTCCCCACTCACCATCCTCCCCACTCACCATCCTCCCCACTCACCATCCTCCCCACTCACCATCCTCCCCACTCACCATCTTCCCCACTCACCATCCTCCCCACTCACCATCCTCCCCACTCACCATCCTCCCCACTCACCATCCTCCCCACTCACCATCCTCCCCACTCACCATCTTCCCCACTCACCATCTTCCCCACTCACCATCCTCCCCACTCACCATCCTCCCCACTCACCATCCTCCCCACTCACCATCCTCCCCACTCACCATCCTCCCCACTCACCATCCACTATAAGCTGATGCGCCACAGTGCTCTTCGAGAACAAGCTCATAGCCTGGGCTGTGCTGGGAATCAGCGGCAGCAGCGCAAACCGCGACGCCCCACCCCCCCCACTCCCTCCTTTCCCCTTCGCACCAGCCCCCCCAGCACCACCACCACCACCACTCCCCCCGTGCCCATCGCCCCCCTCATTGTGGTACAAAGCAAGGAACACGTCTATCCCTGCCAGCACGGCGTTCGCCTCGGCTTCCAGTCGCTCCGCTGCCTCCGCTGCTGCGGCCTGCGAGGCGATGAAGTCGGATTCTATGGAGCGCGCCAGGTGCAGCAGTGCCCGCGCGCGCCCCAGGGTGAACAGCTCCGCCAGCTGACAGGGGGCGCGGGAGAAGGTAAAAGGATGGGAAAGAGGGAATTGGTGGGAGGAGGGGCGGGAAGGCGGCAGGGCAGGAGGAGGATGGGGAGTGGGCGTTTTGGGGATTGCTGCCGATTGTAAATGCAGTGGGGTGGGGAGTGCATGTGGGTTGCAGCTCTATCAGAAGGAACAGCTCTAATTACGTTCCAAAACACGAATGTAACCCTTCGCTCTAGAAGTGAGGACACCTAGTGAAGGGTTGCAGGCGCGCGCATGGCAATGTGAGAGCGAGGCAGAAACACTCACAAGCTGCACTTGACCACTGACGCACAGCACAAAACACAGCACCGAAACCCCACCACACCACACCAGCCAACCTCCCAGCCTGGGTGCCCCCCACAACAGCGACACAATACACAGCGACGCAGCGTCGCAGGGACGCACCCACAGCTGGTCGCACTGCCTGGCGACGTCCAGAGGAAATGCCTTGCCCTTCCTGCCGGCAGCACCTGCTGCACCGCCCTCCAGCACACCGCCAGGCTTTCCGCCTGCCACCTTCTTTGAACCGCTAGCCCTGGGCTTCTGAGCCTGCAACAGCCGCCTTCTGGCTCCCGCTGTGGCCCGAGAGGAGTTGGTAGGGCTGTTGGTGGGGGGGAGAGGGTGACAGGTTGTGGTGGCGGAGGCACGGGGAGAATGGGGGTTGAAGGGAGATGAGGAGAGAGTGGGAGGATGGTGATGGTGGGCACTGGCCGGGGACACGAGTTGAGATTGTGGCTGGTACATCACATCACACCCTGACTCGTTTTGAGAAGTCTAAAAAGAGACAATGTGGGCAGGAGGGAGGAACTGCCGCCTGAAGCAAGAGCAGAAGAACAACATCCCCACCACCCTGTTTGACATGCACATGCCACACGGCATGATAGAGAGAGCACCCACACACCTGGGAAACCCACTGGCTGCTCGCTGTTTCTCCACTGCTGAAAGCCCCAAGTCCAGGGCCACTCCTGGCCTGCCTCCCGCCTTACTCCCTCCACCACGCCCCCTTTCCCCACCCCCTCCCCCTCCCCCTTCCCCTCCCCCTCCCCCTCCCCCTTCCCCTCCCCCTCCCCTTGCCCCTCCCTCTCCTCCCCCATCCATCCATGTCTCCACCACCCCCTCCTCCCCAAAATACCCCTCCTGCTGCTGCCTGCTTCTCCGCCTCTCGTTCCACTCGCTGATCGACGGCTGGGGGGGGCGGATAGGCAGGGACGGCGGGCGGAAGAAGGAGCAGAGCGTGTAGCGGCGCTCGGAGGCAGCGAGCAGGATGGGAAGACGAGAGGGGTGCAGGGCGCGGGAGAGCACGGTGGAGAAGGAGGGGAAGAAGGAGGCGGTGGTGAAGGTGGCGGAGGGGGTGTGCAGCATGCGGTGCAGCAGGCGGTGCAGCGAGCAGTTGAGCACCCATGGCGCCGGGCAGAGGAAGCCGCCGTACAGCACTGGGGATGATGTGGGGCCCTGAGGAAGGGACGGAGGAGAGGAGGGGGAGGGGGGTGGGGGGGAAAGAGGCGTGAGCGGAGGAGAGAGAGTGGCAGGAGTGTTTGTAATGTAACATGAAAACAGAAGAGGAAGCGACAACCACAAGCACAGGTACACTGGATTGATTCTCCTTTGAAAACCAAGACATTCACATTCTGCATTCACAATCTGCATTCTAGCACAGCTGTTGCACCACCACAACCCCACATACACACACCCACTCTTGCCCCAATCGCCCCATCGCACCTCAAAGTACACCCCTGTGGACTCGCGCACACGTGTCATGTTCTCATTGGCCATCAGCTGCTCTACGGGTGCCGCCGGCGCCAGCTGGCTGTAGCACGTCTTGAGAGGCGCCGCCAGCTGGCAAGCTGACGTGGCGTTGATGATGCCCTGTATGCACTCTTGCTGCAAGGGGGGGTGCGAGGGGTTGAGGGGCAAGAGGGGGTAAGAGGCGTTGGGAGGAGATGAGAGGGGGTGAGGGATGGTGAGAGGGGTTGAGAGGGGAGCAACTTGGGGGTAAATGGGTGGGAGAAAGGGTGGGTAGCAGGGAATAGGGAGGCGCACAGAGCAAAGGAAAACGAATAAAATGACGATGGAGGGTCGTGGATTGAGAGGAAGGAACAACAGAGAGGGAGGCTTGAGCAGAAAGCACATAGCTAAGACTTGCACAAGGAGAAAACGGAAGCACGGTTGTTGAATGCAGATTGATAGGCCACACAGTGCGTTTCGTCGTTCCTAAAAGAAAGAGCATGGTATGGTTCGCAGCGAAGCAAACGGATGAGTGCTCACGATCGTACCGAACATGGGAGGGAGCGGGAAAGAGGGGAGCCGGAAGGATAGGAGCAGAGTGTGGAAAGGGGCAACTGACAAGTTGGTGCGAGTGGAAAGCGGGCGAGGAGAGGTAGAGCAGGATGGGGCCGTGCTGGCGCTGGTGAAAGGGCGCCGGGCCACACGCAGGTGCCTCCATTGGCAGCTGTGTGGTGGAACGAAGTGATTTGGGTGGGAGGGAACAAACGAGCGGAGGTGAGAAGTGGGCTAAGGAGAGCGAGTTGGAAAGGGACAGGAAGGGGCCCAGTGAGTGGATAGTACAGGTTGTCTTGTCAGCATGGGGTGACCTGAGATGAATGAACTTGAGTCGCTGCTGCTGCCAGCGTACTACTGGCAGCAGCAGTTGGTTGAAATAATCGATAATCAACCAGTACTGTCAGTCACCATCACCACCAAGAAGCAGCACAGCAGCAACAAGAGCAGCAGCGCCACACGCGCGAGCGAGCATACCTTGTGCAGCACAAAGCCAGCAGGAGGCTTGAACCCTCCCATGCCCGCCTGCGCATCCGTGCCTGCAAACCCCGCCTTGCCCTGCTCGCCCGGCAGCGCCACCACCTCCTCGTGCACATCCACTGTCATGCCTGGCAGCGGCATCAGCAGATCCTCAAACGCCGCCGCCATAAAACCCGCGCCCACACCCCCTACACCCTCCACACCGGCACCAGCGCCTGTCCCTGCTCCTCCCCCTGGTCCTACCCCTGTGCCCTTTCCTGTGGCTGTGGCTGAGAGGGTGCCTGGTTGTGTGGTGGTGTGAGTGGCGGAAGGGGGCAGCAGCATGTGCTGGCGCCAGTGCAGGCGCACGGAGAGGCCTGAGGCGCGCGTGAGGGCGTGCGCCACACACACTGCCTGCAACCGGTTGGGCAGCAGACCCTGTTGGTGGTGTTGGGTGGGGCGCGATGGGCAGGGGGGCACGAGACAGGGGGAGGGTGAGGTTGGACGGGTAAGGGTCGGACAGGAGGAAGGTGGGGGGGAGGGCAAGTGGGTGAGGTGTGGTGGGACATGGTGGGGTTGTCCTTGGTTGGCAGAGGAGGGTGTAGAGTGCTCGTTGGAAGGCAGAGGGCGGCATGCATAGAAGGGACTGGAGAGTGCAGTTTATTTCATTCATGTTTCATAGGGGCGGTGGAAGGAAAGAGGGGCCGTGGGATGCACCACCAGAGCATTAGCCATATTGGATATATGAGAGAACACACCATTGAAGTGGGTCATATGATGATTGAAGCACAGTGAATGCATGCATGCATGCCGCTCACCTCTGCCACCACATGCACGTCAGGTTGCACTGAAGCCCCATACAATGCCTCCGCCGATGATGCACCCTCCACAACCCCCCCTGCTCCTCCTCCCCCTCCTCCTCCCCCACCTCCTATCCCCACCACCGACCCACGAACTGAATCCGAACCAGCCCCCGTTCCTGTCCCTCCCACAGCCCCTCCTGCCCCTCTCCCTCCCCCGCCCTCTTTTCCCCCCTGTAGCTCCCCTGCCTGCACCCCTGCTGCACCCGTTCGTCCCACCACACTCCCAGACCATCCTCCCTGTCCCCCCACTGGTGCTCCTGGTGCAGCTAGTGTTGTTGGCGTTGCTGGTGCTGCTGGGGCCCCCATGCCACCCCTACCAACCACGGCACCTTCAACGCCCCTATCTACCAACGCACTGCCCTTCATCTCCCCCATCCCACCTCTCTGGACCACTGCAGAGCTGCCATTCCCTGCCACTCCGCGCCCCCACTCCTTGCTTTCCACGAACGTTCCTGGCCCTTGCCTGGCCCCCGAGAACCCTCCACCTGCCTCCTCCGGCCCCCCTCCTCCCAACCCATGCGCGCCCTGGTCCCTCCGCCTTTCCTCCCACAACTCCCTCTCGTCCCTGGGCCCTCCATGCTCCCCACTCCGCGAGTCTCTCCCCAACCTGCCCTGCTCTGCTCCTCCCTGCGTGTGCGAGCTCCCTCCCTCTGGAGGACCTTGGGTAACTCCATGACTCAAACCGTCTCTCCCCAGTGGGCCCCTGCCACTAGCCGCACCTCCACTGCTCCCTTCACTACCTCTGCTGCCCCACTCACGCCGCACTCCTGCTTCCCTCTCCCCTCCTGCACTCTCCCCTTCTTCCCTCGCTTCTCCATCTCTCTCCCTCCTCGCCCAGGCCTCCCTGCTCCCCTCCCCCAGCCCATCTCTCCACGCCCTCCCCCCTTCACCTCCCCTACCTTCCCCCTCCTCCGCACGTCGAGTCCCCCCTCCTCCCCTATCTTCTCCTCTTCCACTCTCCTTCTCCCCCCTTCTCTCCCCCTTATGCCCTCTTCCACTCCAACTGCTCCTCCCCCACCCCCACCATCCGCGGCCTGCCACCTTGTCCCGCCCGTCCCTCTCATACCGCTCTCGCACATCCACTCTCCGCCCATCCCCCCCATTGCCACCTGCACCCTCCAATGACCCGCCTCGCCGCTCGCTGCCCAAACCCCCCGCTTCCCCGCCCTTGCCTCCTGCTCGCCAGTACCCATAAGACCGTGGCTCTCCCTCGGAGGAACTCTTGTTCCCTGCCTCTCTACCCCCTGCGTCTCCACCCCCTGCTTGCCCACCAATGCTCATCTTCTCATTTCCGCCCTCCACCGGTTCATATTTTTCTCCTCCTCCTCTACTTCCTCCTTCCCCTACCATTCCCACTTTCCCTTCTCCTTTTCCTGCCCCACTGCCCCCTCCTCCTGCTCCTCCCTTCCCTCCATACTCACCCAAGTACCTGCCTTCTTCCGCAACCCCTCTCGCTCCACCAGCCCCTCCCCTTCCTACCTCTCCTCCCAGTTCTCCTCCTCCTGTCGGTGTTCCCTTTCCACCCAGCGGCCCGTCTGCGCTCCTCCCCAGGAGCACCTCCGCCCCTTCCGCACTCCTATTCGTCCCTCCCCCCACCGTGCCATTCGCGCCCAAACCACCGCTCACATTCACCTGACCGCCATCCACGAGCCCTCCCACCCAATCTTGCGTGCCCACTCTGCTGGTAACATTCTCCCCCTGTCCCTCCGTTCCCCCTTTCCCTCCCCATTCTCTGTCCGCTGCGCCCCAAGCACCCTCCGCGCGCCCCCCCCTTCGCCGCTGGCTCGTCCAATCACGCGAATCCGCAAACGGCATCTCGTCATCACCCACCATTCGCGCATCCCCGTTACTGTCATCCCCGTCGCCCCGCTGCTGCACCGCCAGGAACGAGGACGCCGGAAGCGTCGTGGCGGCGTGTCGCTTCCCCTGCTGCCGCACTGGCCACGACATTTGCATGGTTGCGGAAGCGAGGATGAAGACGCTCAGGAATAACCATCGGCGCCGTCCCCCCAGGTGCACCTTGCGCAACTGGTCGCCGATCTGATACCCTATTCCCCGCCCGAACCGCCCTATCCGCCAAATTTGCCCCTGGATCGCGCCGCTTCCGCCGCCGCCGCTACCGGCGTTGGCGCTGGTGCTGGCACCGGCAGCAGCAGTGGCGGCGACAGCAGCGCGAACGGATTTTGCGGCTTCTTGGCATTTTGCGAGGAGATCCCGGTACCACAGGCGGAGGAGGACGGCGGTCTGCGAAAGCCAGAGGTGCTGCATGGCGGCATGTCGCGGTGACGCGGCGATGCGAGATTCCGGGCTCTCAGTCTCGCGTGGTTGCTAGCTTGAGTGATGGCGCATCGGCGCGGCTAGACGAGCGAGGGCTGTGCGCAGACGAGAGTACTACACTTCGACGCGACGACAGACGCGGAGGATGGCGAGGCGAAGAGAGGGAGCAGTGATCACAAAGAGAAGGTGCGCGACCCTCCCTACTCGCTAAGTCCCGATGGATGGTGCTTGCTGTGGAGTGGAATGGAGTGTTTGTTTACTATGCTGTGGTGGTGTTGGGTGTGATCTGCGGAGGAGGTGGGTGGTGGTGGTGGTGGGTGATCATGCCAACTTGACACGACCGCACAACTCGCGTTGAGTGAGGGCAAGTCCCATCCTGAAAGTACGTTCTTGCGTAATACCCTACCCAACCACTCTAAATATGTAAGAGACCTTTCTAGATTGTACTAAGCCTTACTACGTTTGGGATCCTCCCTGAGGCTCGAGGGTGAAGGCCAGGGTGGACGTGGTGAAATCCGTACGTTTGGGTGTGCAGTGCGGCTGGTCGTTGAGATAAAGTCAGGCGCTTGCATAAGATTACACCGCGACCAACTTAGAAACAGAACTGTATATTTCCTTAACATGTCCCATGCACCTTTACAGATACTTACAGGCACCGTAAAACACCCTTTTCCCTTTCTATTATAAGCAGCTCCCGGCAGGAATGCAGTTTCAACTAGTTCATGCACTAGTAAAGACCGCCCAGCTTGGGCAAAACATTTGAATCAAGTTTCTCTTAAATTTTAGTAGAAAGGCAAATAAGAAACAAGTACAGGCAGCGGCAGAGCACCAGAGGGTATGTGCAGCTCTGAAGCCAGACAAGAGGGGCTCATACACTCTGCTCCCCTGCCTTACCTAAACAAACCCAAGCACTTCAAAAAACCCAAATCCCAACACAACAAGCAGCAATTTCACATCCCAAGAGTGTCCATGACTCAGCCCTCCATCCTCCCATGCCTTCCCTTCTCATCCCTCAATTCCATAGCACAAGCACACTCCCCATTCCCATTCCGCATCCCCATCCCCATGCATTGCCCGATCCGCACGTCGCATGGCGCATGTCCCATCCGCACGCCGTCATGCCTCGTGCTGCACTCCGAAGTGCGCCACGTAGTGAGCGAAGCGAGCGCGCTGCTCCTGCTTGTCCAGGTGCGTGTCCTCCCACCGGTACACATGGCGCTGCGCCTTGCGCTCCTGCCGGGCCACCACAAGCAACAAGGACCCGAGAGAACAGGAGACGTGAGAAGACCAGCGGCAACAGCCAAGGCAGTTGCTGGAACAGGCTTTGGTGATCAAAGGGTGAGCTGCACGCCATACTCACTAGTCACTGCGGACATTTACCATCCCATGCACTCTCGCCTCTATCCCACGCAGCACAGAAACTCACTTCCTTCAACTCACCTTGGCATCTTCTGCGAGGTACTGGCGCATGCGGTGCTCAGCCCAGGGGGAGAGCTCCTCCCCGTAGTGCGCGTAGATGCGCTTCACCTGCGCGATGGGGTCGCGCACAAACTCATGGTACAGCACATCCACTGCCAGCGACGCCCTCCACTCCTCTTCCTCCTCCTCTTCCTCCTCTTCCTCTTCCGCCTCATCCTCTCCCTCACCATTGTCTCCCCCCTCCTCCTGCTCCTGATCACTCTCTCCGGTGCTCTCAACGTCCCCATCCATATTCTCGTCCTGCTCCGAGTCAGAGTCGGTGCTCGTGCTGCCCAATCCGCCGCTGCTGCGGCTGCTGTCGCTGCACACGCTGCTGCAGTCATCACTGGAAGAGTCTTGAAAGCCGATCTCCCTCCGGCTGTCCCGCTCGGCCCGCAGCTTCTCCCTCTCAGCAGCCTTCTCCCGAAGAGCTATCATGTTGTCCAGTGCGCGAGCCAGATGTGGGGCCCACAGGGTGGAGATCTGCATGCCCATAAGCGCATGCATGGGGCAGGGGAGAGCAAGAGGACTAGCCGTTAGCTGCCACCCAGTGCTTACGGCAGAGCTGCGCATGTCAGTTGGAGAAATAAACAACAACCCTGAAAAGCATAGAGGCTGCGAGGGGGACAAGATACCCTTTTACTCCCTGCCTTCTTGCGCAACTGTTTGTACATTTGAGTTTGATGTATTACCCAGTTCATTGCCACACCAATCACTTCTCCCGCCACTTCCCCTGCCCAAATCCACCCCCCCTTGTCTTGCACCCTCCTACTTCCCAAGCCCCGCCTAAACCCCAACGACTCACAGTGGCATCGTCAACGTGCTCGCAGGTGAGGGAGCGGAAGCAGCGCATGAGCGAGTGGGCGGAGGGCAGCACGCGCAGGGGGTCCCGGTGAGTGCACACCACGCGCGCGTCAGGGAAGACTTGCAGCAGCACGGGCAGGGAGAAGATGTGCTCGGGGCTCTTGAGCAGCCAGTGCGGCGCGGAGGGGCCGTGGTGCTGCAGGTACTGCAGCTGCCAGCGCAGGAAGCGGTAGGTGGGCGTGATGTGCGATGCCATGAACCAGTCCAGGTACTGTGGTGCGTGCAGGTACGCGAATGGCAGCACAAACGACGTGCAATCGTAGCTGGTGTGTTTGGCAAGGGAGGGGCAAGGGAGGAAAGGAAGGGGGGGTTGGGGTTTGAGGGAGAGGGGTGAGGGGTTGGGGACGAGATGGGTGGCGTGGATGGAAAAGAACGGAGAGGCAGGCTGGCGCAGAGTGAGGTAGCTGGAGAGTGCGGAGACAGATGAAGGCACAGCACGGCTAGCACAGTAGGGCGAGGTGCAGCAGCAGAGCGAGGGGCAGCAGAGCGAGGGGCAGCGAGGGGCAGCAGAGCGAGGGGCAGCAGAGGAGGGGCAGCAGCAGAGCGGGGAGGGCGCACCACATAAGTTCAAAGGTCTCCTGTGGGCCTTGAGCAGTCATGTGGTGGATATGCTTGAGGTCGGGCACAAGAGCGTCCAGCGCAAAGAGCGACTCCTCCATGAGCCCTACACGTGCGTCGCTCTCGTACGTGGCGCGCTGCGGCGGCGGATACAGGTGGTGGCACTCCCACGTGCGCGGCGTTCGGAAGGTGCGCGAGTCGAGCGAGAGCAGGTTGAAGAGGAGAGTGGTGCCCGTGCGCGGCATGCCCAGCACCACCAGCGGCGCCTGCGGCGAGCGGATTGGAGGGCGGAGGGGGAGAGGATGGGGGGAAAGGATGGGGGGAAAGGATGGGAGAGGGGAGAGAGAGGAGAGGGGAGAGGGGAGAAGAGAGGGGGGAGAGAGGGGGAGGGAGATCAAGACAAGATAAGTAGGGGGCGTTATAGGCAGGGTGCAGAAAAGGGAGGAAGAGTGCAGAGGGCAGGTTCCGCTCTGGGGCATAGGTATCCCTGTTGCTTACGGTTGTCTCTTGGTACTGTTTGCTTACAGAAAATTTTTGCTGGTTTGCTTAATGTTCGTTTGTGAATGCAAACGTGTGGCATGTGCGCGCGCGCATCCGTCTGTGCGCGCGCGCGCCCGTGTAGGAGGCGCAACGCAACAAAATCTCACCTTGATGGGCTCGTTCTCGATCTCAGGGTGTTGCTTGCGGTGCTCCACCAGGTGCAGCCTGCACTGCAGCAGGCGCTGCCCAGTCACGCGAGGGGCAAGGGACGAAAACGGGAGGAGAGAGGCGCTGTGAGCAAGGGGAGTAGGTCGCCACGGATTGAATGTAGGAGGTGAAGAGACGACGCACTGGAAGGGTTGGGTTGCTTAGCGAATGTTACTTTCAAAAAGAAAAACTGGTTGCTTCGGAGACATTCGGTAGGTCGGACAAGAGGCCAGCGACGAGGGGCTTTCGGAGCAACGCGAAGTTACGACATGGAATCATGTCGGCGCGGATTTGGCGACGATGCGCGGGAGTCCGTCAATGAGCACGGCAGGGCGCGTCTCACCTGCACGTCGAGCCAGATGGCGATCCGTCCAAACGTCGACAGGTTCGCGTTTTCGCGCGCGTCCTTCGCCGCCAGTCGCATGGCCGTCACGAAGCTCGTGTCGCCAAAGTCCGAGAGTCCCGTGCACCACTGCGCGCAGCGCAGCATGGCGTCCTCGCGGAAGGGGATCAGCCAGTCCAGCGGGCGGAACCACGGCGCAACTGCTCCGCACTGCCGCCCCGCCCAGTTGATTGCGCGTACGGCCGCGGGGATGAGAATTTTCAGCACGGCCCGCACGCGCGCCTTGGCGGGGGAAACGGGCGCCGGGCGGAAGACGTCGTAAGGGTTGGCGGACGGGGAGCGGGAGGCGGATTTGGTCGCATCGGAGGGCTGGTTGAGGGGGGACGCAGCGGCGGTACCTATGCCGGCCCATTGCGACGCGACGACGACGACTACGACGACAAGGGCGGCGAGAGCGACGAGCGAGGCGACAACGACGGAGACGATGACATTGAAGAGAAGCGGAGAAGCGGATGCGGGCGCATCGTGGCACGCAGAGAGTGTTTGGGACGGATCGAGGAGGGCGCAAGACGAGACACTGGCGGCAATGGCGCAAGCTGTGGTATTGGCGATGATGGCCATCTCGCCCAATGAGGAGAGGTAATGCAAAGATGAGGATGAAGTGGAGGTCTGAGCCCTCATGTACCGCAGGAAACGCGAATTGGATGTGCAACTCTAGGAAACGCGAGGCTAGAATTGAAATCGTTTCAGTGCTGCCTTGCGAAGGGCAGATAAAACATAAAACCCAATCGGAAAAGGATGCGATTCGGGAAGGCATCAAACCTGCAACACCAGGTGGATTCCCTCCCGAAAAGGTGCCCAGGTTCTTCTACTGGTTGAGTTTTTTTCTGCCCTGGCCAAAATAACTTGATAGTGTCGTTTAGTGCCGAGTCAGTGGTCAGTAGTCACCGTGTGCGTCGCGCCGCAGGCACACCGAACTTTCTAGCGTTCGCAAAATGTTTGCATGGATACGTGCTGATGACAGTTCTGTACAAATAATATAGCACAAGCACAAGCATCAAGCAAAGCACCAATATGTGTT